AATAGTAAGTAGCGTTATTGTTAGACAACAGGCAGGCGATGCAGCAGAGTGGTTTTAGCAGTGGGGAAGCGGCTCTGGCTTTTAGCCCGCCAGGGCCGGAAGTTAGCCGTATGCTAAAAACAAAGGAGCGTAGCTAGCCTGTAGCTTGCCGGCAACGGGCGTTTTAGCGGCAGTTTAAGCAGTAAACAATGAGTTTTAGTAACCGGATGTAATGTGGTTAAACAGAGCGGCAGTAATATTAGCAGTGAGAGAGCAGCTATTAGTGGGAGCAGTATTAGGGGCAACGGGCGTTGTCCGAGTGTAGCTTCGGGGTCTAGCAGGCCCGAGCGGAAGCTAGCCGTATGCTAGGGCAAAGGAGGGTGGCTAGCTGTTAGCTTACGAGCGTGGAGCGTTTTAGCAGTAGTTTATACAACGAAAGTCTGGAGCGAGTTATACAGTTCGCACAAGCACGTATACAGTGGTGGGATGGTGTTTGTCTGTGTTGTGCAGTACAGTCTTGGTGTGTGTGTGTACAACAGCAGGGTAGCAGGAGAAAGAGCGGTGAGATAGAGTTAGCGTTAGCAACCTTTTAGCAGAACAACAGCATCACATTCACACAGCTGCCATTTACAGCCTTTTACGCAGATATACTCGGTTACAATCCTGTGTGACTTAGGTCACAAAGGGACACAGAGTAGATCCGTACGCCCGTGTTCTGGACACGGTGTACAGTGGTTTACAAGGAGAAGTTATTTGCGCTTTCTCTTCAGAGTGAAGCGACTTTCACAAACTCACGCCGCCCGCTGGCCAAGCGGGGCGAAACGTTGGAGAGAATGTGTAGTACCTGTGCGAGAGCCAGGATTTGGAGACTAAATTAATAGTCTGGTGCATGCACGGGACGCTTTATCGCAAGCGTGGGGCGCAGGGGAGCTCGATTGCCGTTGAAGTCACTATAGCAGCGGGGGTAGCAGGGATGTGGGGGTGAGGAGGTGGGGGAAAGCGCTTCGAGCGGAGCAGTTTTTAAGTTAGCGTATTGCAGATCAGTCACAGAGTATGAGTCGATAAATCTGGTCTATATTCGCGGATCTCACAAACAGGGTACCAATATGTAGGGTAATACTTAATATGGCTGATTAGATTATGTTATAAATTTAGTATGATGTAGTGTAGTGCGGCTAGTCTCCAAATCAGTCTGGCCGTCCTACACGAGTGGGGGATCTGCTTTTATTTTGGGGCACCAGCAGAGTTTGAAAACTTCTGCACAGATCCAACTAATTCTTTGCCTCGATCAGTCTTATGAATCTAATAGGTAGTGGGTACTTTTATCGGCCAGGGATAGTCCGAGATCTAACACACGACTCTGATAGGATTGCGTTAAAGAAAATGGGTTTATTGATTACAAAGTGGGATAAAAATATAACGAAAAGGGATTTTGGTCACATTAAAAGCGGAAGTTTGTACACATTTCATTCGAATCATACATTTAACACAAGAACAGTCTTACTTTGTAGGAGCGTAGAGGATGGAGAAAGGATTTGGGTTGGGGAATCCGCCCACGTGGTTTCTTTGTCTGGTCAGGCGGGAGGTCCAAAGCCAGCGAGTTGGTCCAGCTGCTGACCCACGCGAATACAGCCCAGTCCGGAATGAGCTGCGCTCGTGTAGTCCAAAGCCAGGAAAAAGAGGCTGGTGATGAAACAGCTCGCAAGGTCCCGAGCCAGAGGAGAGGGTTGTGTTGCGGAGTAGAAGGCCCGATGCGTGCAGGCGCGACCGTAGTAGGAGACACGTGCCGCGGGACGCAGATGGGCAGGGAGAAACTGCGATAGTGATTTCAGGAGAAGACAAGAGGAAGTTCTATGGCATTGTTCGTGTTTTATATTGACTTCCCAGGGGAGGCGTGTCCATGCCTTGACCCCTCTCTGTGGACCAACCCCTTCACACAGACATTTTGCAAAGGGAGCACCAGGATTAATACAGAAATGATCACAACACATGTACAAACACACAGTGCATTCACATCACAGACATTAAACACACGAGTAGGGTCCGTAACGTTAATATCATTGAAATCATAAGAACAAATACTTTGCAAAGCTAATCACCCAAAATAAAAATAACCCAAAGGTCCTATTTTCAACCATCGACACCATTTTAAACCCTGATTTTAGCATGTCTCTTTTAACCCCCACAGACTCCCTCTGTGAGGATTTTGCAGTCCACTTCACGGGGAAGATAAACACAATCAGATGTAACATTTTATCCAACCGCACTACTGTTTTTAACACATCTGATTGTTTGTCTTCGCCAGAGGAAACACTGGACAGTTTTGTCCTGGTTGATGCTGAGATGCTTGATAAAGTTTTCTCCTCAGTGAGGCCCACCACATGTCTTTTAGATCCAGTCCCCACTCCATTTTTTAAGTCATTTTATGAATCTTTTAGAGAGGAGCTTTTAAACCTGATGAATTGCTCTCTTCAGACTGGGGTCTTTCCTGCAGCCTTCAAAGCGGCTGTGGTGAGACCCCTTCTGAAGAAGAGCAATTTAGATTTTAATGATTTTAACAACTACAGACCGGTATCCAACCTGCCATTTTTAAGCAAAATTTTAGAAAAACTTGTTTTTACCCAGCTCAATGCCTTCTTAGATCAGCAACAAATTTTAGAGAAATTTCAATCAGGTTTTAGGGTGAACGACAGCACAGAGACTGCTCTTTTAAAGATTTTAAATGATTTTAGACTAAGTTATGATTCTAAAAAGGTGACCGTGTTGGTTCTACTGGATCTAAGCGCTGCCTTTGATACAGTAGACCACACCATTCTTTTATCCCGCCTGAAACACCTCGGCCTCTCTGGTGCTGTCCACAAATGGTTCACTTCTTATTTAACAGACAGATCCTTCATGGTAAGTTTGGATACCTGCTCCTCTCAGGTCCATAAAATCACATGTGGTGTGCCCCAGGGTTCCATTTTAGGTCCAGTTCTTTTTAACCTGTACATGCTCCCTCTTGGCGGTGTCATCAGGAGGCATGGAATTAACTTCCACAGTTATGCAGATGATACACAGCTGTACATCTCCATGTCTCCTGATGACACCAGGCCAATGGATGCTCTTTTTAACTGCATTTTAGACCTGAAATCCTGGATGGCAGAAAACTTTCTCCAGCTTAACCAGGACAAAACTGAGGTTTTAGTCATCGGTCCTGAGGCCCAGAGAGAGAAACTTTTATCAAAACTCCAATCACACTCTTTTAATCCATCATCACAAGTGAAAAATCTGGGCGTAATCTTTGACTCTGAGCTGACTTTTATTCCTCACATCAAGAGTATCACAAAAATAGGTTTTTATCATCTAAAGAACATCGCCAGAGTCCGCCCCATTCTCTCTCGGGGCAACACGGAGACGCTGATGCATGCTTTTATCACCAGTCGCATTGACTACTGTAATGCCCTGCTGTCTGGTCTTCCCAAAAAGAACATTGCAAGTCTTCAATTACTCCAAAACTCGGCCGCACGTGTCCTGACTAAGACCAGGGGGCGGGACCACATTACACCGGTTTTAAAATCGCTGCATTGGCTCCCCGTGTGTTTCAGAATCGATTTTAAGATTCTTTTAATGGTTTTTAAATGTCTTAACGGTCTTGGGCCTTCTTATCTTTCAGATTTGCTTTTATCCTATGAGCCTTCCCGGCCCCTGCGCTCCTCCGGCAGCAGACTCCTAACCATCCCCAAAGTCAGGACACACACTCACGGCGAGGCATCTTTCCAGCACTACGGCCCCCGTCTCTGGAACAGTCTGCCGGAGGAGCTCAGGGCCGCAGAGAACGTTCATATTTTTAAAAGTAGGCTCAAGACACACTTTTTTAGATTAGCTTTTGATTAGTTTTTATTATTCCATTCTATTTATCTTTTATTATTTATTATTTATTATATTGCTATTGCTATTATTCATGTATTGTGTGTTCCTTTTAGTCTCACATTTTAGTGTTTTACTTATTGTATTGTTTTTAGTGTACCCAGTGTTTCCTCTGGAGGAGCCCTCTGCACTGGGAGCAGTGGTCGGTGTGGCTGCGGGGGTCGGACTCTTGGGCCTGGTGGGGGCCTGGGGCCTCGGTTTCATGTCTCCTCTGGGTCCTGTGTCGTCCCCTGTGGCTACAGGCGGCTCTCTGCTCCTGGTGCAGACGGCTCCTTGGATGACGCTTTTTCAGCTGGTTGCATCTGAACCCTGCCAAGTCTCTCATCATGTTTTTATTGTTTTACGTGTGTGTGTGTGTGTGTGTGTGTGTGTGTGTGTGTGTGTGTGTGTGTGTGTGTGTGTGTGTGTGTGTGTGTGTGTGTGTGTGTGTGTGTGTGTGTGTGTGTGTGTGTGTGTGTGTGTGTGTGTGTGTGTGTGTGTGTGTGTGTGTGTGTGTGTGTTCGTGAGCGCGTGTTTGTCTGTGGTTTGGGGTGGGTCTGTTGGGTGGTCTGGGGGAGGGGTCTTGGGTCGGCGGGATTGTTTTTAACCAAACTGTAAAGCACTTTGTGTTGCATCTTATGTATGAAAAGCGCTTCATAAATAAAATTTGATTGATTGAAATATTGTCCCTGCACACTGCCCGTGCCTGGTGTGATACTGTTCAATGTCCACTGGGCGGCGCCAGAGCGCCGTGTGTGAGTCTCAGGTTGTGGAATGTTGGGATTAACCCTCTGATGCATGAATTATGAAAGCCTTGGTCAAGATTTTTTTCTGAAGTGATTTTATTCTTCTCAGGACATAAAAAAAAGAGTCCAACTTTGTTTTTCCAAAAATACATTTTTTTCATAAAGTTACAGACATGTCCAATCCAGTGGACTACATGCGCCTCAACATGAAATTTTGTGAACTTACTGTAAACATTAATTAACTTGTGTTCTATTGTAAATATGCAAACACTTGTTTCTTTTTATGCTTTGTAAAACATTTCAGCATTTTTTGGGAAATTTCAACACTGTATAAGCGCAGTGTTTAGGCCTGAATAAGAAAACCAGTGACACTCATAGCCATGAATCTTAGACCTGAATATGTCAAACCATCTCCAACAGGAGAAACATTATTGAGTCTCCACAGTTCTATAAGGATGCAGGACAGTATTATCAAGCCCTTATATTGTCATGGAAGAAAACACGAACTGACATTTTAATCTCTGCTTCTCCAAACAGTTCTACAGTATGTTCATCACACCTAGGCTGTATGAAAGTTTGCAAAGCATCCAGGGCACAGTGGCACACAGCAGTGCATGCAGATGTATTTGGTCTTCCGTGTGCATGCAGCATCATGGCATCTGTTTGCATTTTTGACCTTGGTGAGTTGAGGCCAGTGATATCCTGCACCAAACCTCACCTCACGTGCTACTCTGGTGACTGCTTTCCGCTTCACGGGTTGTGGGGTCTCAATGGGTCTTCCTCTTTTGTTTTGCTGGAGGGTGCCACTATTTATCAGTGCACGAGCCACAGAAGCTTTGAAGAGGAGGAGTCTCATCTTTTCCAAACCAGACATCAGGTAGAGGCGCCAGGCATTTACAATGGTCACATCCAAAAAATGAAAAAACACTCGGATGTACCACCTCTTGTTTCGACGTCTGTGGGGGTACATTGCGAGACATTGGTCAACAAGATCAACCCCACCCATGTGTTGATTGTAAAGAGCCACAGAGAAGGGTTTTTGGACCATCATCATTGTTTTATCCTTCTTCACCCATCGGTTGGCAACATCTTCAGGGGACTGGCCAGCACAGGACGAGACCATGTGAACGACTGAACTGTCGAGCCAACGTGTGACAGTGATGTTTGCATTATTGCTGACAACAGAGCAAGCTCCTCTGCCCATTTCTTTCAGTTGTTTTTGACTCTTCAGTTTCTGATTTGCTCCCTTCAGCCGGTTTGCCCTGCATGTACCAGTGCCGTAGATGCCTTGGTCTTTCAAGGCTTCTATGAGTGGAATGCTGCAGAAGAAGTTATCAAAAAACACCTTGTGATTTTTGTGTTTTATGTCATCACAAAGACGCATCACCACATCTCCAGCCATTCCCAATCCACTGATGCAACCACTACTTGCAGAACCTTGGTACACTTCGAATCTATTTGTATAGCCTGAGGTTCCTGCCCTCACCCACACTTTCACTCCCCAGGGTTTGGGTTTTTTTGGTATGTATTGTTTGATGGACAGTAGACCTTTGAAAGGAATGATCTGTTCATCAACTGACTGAAATTCCTCTGGGTCTGCTGCTGCCTTGAATGTATCCTGAAGTGCACTTAGGAATGGTCTTATTTTGAAGAGCCTATCCATGTTCGCTTGCTGGTAAGTCAAGTTATCAACAAAGTGTAGGTATCTCAGGATTTGCTCATATCTGTTTACAGACATGGCATTTGCAATTATTCCAAGACGAAGGCCATCGTCACTAGACCAGTACATTCGTGCCCTAGGATACCGAATGTACCCCATGATCAGGTTGATCCCTAAAAAAATCTGCATTTCTTCTCCTGTCACTGCCAGATTTTCTTTCCCTTTCTGGAGAGCATACAAGTTGGTGTTGTATGCTATATCATCAATGAGATCTGCTGGAAACAGATGCCTGAAGAAATCTATGGGATCTTTTCCCTCCACATTCAATTTCCACTCTCCTAGAAAAGGAGGCAGGTCTCCATCAAAGTCATTGTCTTGGACTTTCCAGATATTTTTGCGGGCTTGAGTATGGTCAGGTGCCATGTGCCCATCTTCCACAGCTCCCTGATCATGCTGACCTTCCTCTGCATCCTGACCCTCATCATCCTCACTTTCTGCATCCTGACTGTCTGTATCTCCATCATCCTCAGCTTCCATGTCTCTGTTCTTCTCTGGCAGCCACTCTTCATCACTGATGTCACTACACTCATCATCACTGAATTCATCATCACTGGAGTTGGATGGAATTTCCTGGACTATTCTGTACGCTGCCTTGTTCTTTGCTGCATTTGAACTCTACAAAATATGATAAAATAATTAATATAGTAACTCAAACTACATCTAATCTGCATAGAAATGTATATTCAAATGAATAGATTGTAAATATAACAATTATACACTGATTTATAATCAAAACAGTCACAAGAAATAGTGAGGCAATGTATGTCTTGTTTAAAAAAAATATTCTTGGTAATGCATGATGTCCACTTCATTGGACATATGGTTAATCGTACTTTTCTAAATATTGGACATACAAATTTCATATTCCAAACAGATAATATCCTTCCCTAGATGTTACTGTAAATCATCATATTTTTTTTACCAGTGGGGCTCTTCCAGAATAGAAGGATTGACAAGATATGCCAGCAGTGGTCGGCAGGGGTGGCTGTTTGTCGGCCATCTTGGATTCAGAGGAAATTTACTTGCAGTTACACCGACTGAACACTGAATTGACCTCAATAGAGTATGGCAGCAGAGAGCACTCTAGAGGCTGATATGCAGTTAAACCATAGAAACCAATGCATTAAAGAGAAAATGACGTTTTAGTAGCTGTCCACTGCAGTGACCGTTATGCACCAGAGGGTTAAGAGCAGATGGGTGATCTCTGATCTCTACAGGCAGGCAGAGACAGCGGTGCCCATCCCCGTGGTTTTATTGCCCCTCTGGGTCTTCTTGTGGTGTTCCTGGTGAATGTTAACCTTTCATCGAACTCGTAGTTACTTTGAAGTCTCAGGAGCTAGGGAGGAGTATGTTTACGGAAAGGGTCTGCTATTCACGCCCGATTGGCGCGTGCCCTTTTCCTCACCCTACACCATCATATGAGATGTTGGAGAATCACCCTGACTGGACACCATCCTTGCGGTTAGGCCACAATAATGTTAAAGAAACAGATGGAGCGCGATATCAGCGGCAAGTAAAGCGCAGGACCCAGCATCTGGAGCAGTCATCACTCCCAGCCCAAGCCCAGCAGCCTCCATCACCAGCCCAAGCCCAGCAACCTCCATCGCCAGCCCAAGCCCAGCAGCCTCCATCACCAGCCCAAGCCCAGCAGCCTCCATCACCAGCCCAAGCCCAGCAACCTCCATCGCCAGCCCAAGCCCAGCAGCCTCCATCGCCAGCCCAAGCCCAGCAGCCTCCATCGCCAGCCCAAGCCCAGCAGCCTCCATCGCCAGCCCAAGCCCAGCAGCCCCCATCGCCAGCCCAAGCCCAGCAGCCCCCATCGCCGGCCCAGCAGCTGCCTCAAGGAAGGATGAGGAAGCTCTCACCCTTCCAGCTTGTTGACTGTAATGCGCCTCAGATTAGACCTTCCATCTCAGAATTCACGTTGAGAGGGTGATTGGTGTTGTGCGCAACAAATTCAAATTCTTACATTCAACTGTACCTGTGCATATGCTTCTCAAATGTGAGGGTGAAAACCTAATGCCTTTAGATAAGATTGTCACTGTTTGCTGTGCCTTAACGAACATGTGCAAAAGTGTTGTTTGAGTGCCTTGTTCATAACTTATGAACCAACCAGAACCCCTCATGTCATCTGGATCCGAGTCCAGAGTCAGAACCAGACACAGAGAAGCTGCATTCAGCTTCTATGCTCCACATGTCTGGAACAAACTCCCAGAAAGCCTCAGATCAGCTGAAACACTCAGTTTGTTTACATCCAGGTTAAAGACCCACCTGTTCTCAGCTGCTTTTGAATATTTTTTATTCTAATGTACAAATCTGCACGGCTTCTTTTAAGCTGGAATTACTTATCTGTTATCTTTTTCTTATGAATTTTTGTTTTTAATTTTAAATCATGCTTTTTATTGTTACTTTTTAATGCTTCTTCTGCACCCAGCTGTAATGCTTCTTAATTTTTTATTTAAAGTACTTTGAATTGTTTTGTAACATGAATTGTGCTGTACAAATAAACTTGCCTTGCCTTTTTAATTTCTTTGAAATAAATGTTTGAAACAACTTCATGTGGCAAAGCAATATTTATTGAGAAATTAACATTTTTTTGGAGGGGGGGGTGTAATCTCTTGGAAAAGTTAACAGTGCAAAAGAACGTGTGCAGTCAACATATAAATATTTCAGCATGAAAAGACGGACAACATAATAATAAAATAGTAACACTGCTGATAGTGCAAGTACAGTGTTTTCACCGCCTGGAGGCTTGTAGATGGCCAAGTCCTGCACCCAACCACAGCAGAAAGCCTCGTAACTCTCCAGTGACTTGTGACTTCTAAACCTCTGCATTGTGTAATAACTAACACCGAAAACAAGGTAATTCACTATATCCATGTACGTGCACGGAGGCAAAAAGTCTAGGTATTTTTGCCACTCCGCTGCAGGAAGCTCGTATGGGTCTACCTGTTGTATGTCTGAGAGCTTCTCCAAATAACGTTGTTTTGCTTTTCCCTGTACGGTCCATTTCCTTTCGCCTTCACTTTCTCCATTAACTGTCTTGCTAGTGTTGTAATCGTAGATGTATCTACTGCCAAAATAATAAACGGCCGCTCAAGTTAAAGACTTCTGGAGCGTTAGCATAGACTGTAGCTATATATTGAGCGTTAGTGGCGTTGCCCCTGGCAACCGATAGAGGATCCTATCAACATGGCCGACCGGATTAAACCCCGCCCAAATTATCACGTGACTCCTCATTCTCAATGGATCCAAATCTCCGATCACTCAATTTCTCCAAATATCTTTCCTTAGAAATTACGTCCAGTGTATCACTATACTTAACGCGGTCAGAGTCGGCCGATTTCGTGGCTTTAGAAGACGTGAGAATGATCCGTGGCAAATGAACTGTGAGAAATGATCCGTGCTATATAATCTAGACAGACAACATGGCGGCCGCGCAAAGCATCATGGGTAATAAACACGTGATCGAAAACCATCTATTGACACAAACTTAATTTTGATATTTTTTTCTTCAGTTAGACAGCAAAAAATAATGTCATGTTTAAAGCTGTAATTGTTTCCGTTTTAATAAATAAAAAAAATCTTACATCATGGTTGTGTTTTTTCTGTATTATCACATATGGTCCACGCTTTAGATTAGGGTACTGCAAAATAGTGTAATAAGCAGCTTATTAACATATTTATAGGCATATTGTTAGTGGCCTATTAACATGGTATCAATAATAGTTTAATAAGCAGCTTATGCATACATTTATAAACATATTCCTCCTTTAATAAGCATCTTACTAATTACTTATTAAATTCTTAAAAGCATATAAATAGAACAACAATTTGGAGAATAGTGAAATGAGCAACTTTTTAATGTTTATAAGCACATACAAGCAAATTGTAAGCATGTTACTAATGCCTATTAATACCTTATTAATACTTAACAAGCACACCTCAATATAAAGCGTTACCTCTTTATTTACAAAACTTCAACAAGTCCCACACACACTAATGTCTAAGGTTTGGAAGTGCTTTGGAAAAGGGAACTCCCAGGAAGCTGCAGGAGCTTATAGGCGGGGCCCAAAACAACACATGTAAAACACATGTGACACTTTATACCTTTATACTTTCATAAACACATTTCTAAACATTTGACCCACTCACACATCCTCACAGTTTCAGTCTGGACTCTTCCTTTTCTGGTACTTGGTCTTACTCATAATAATGTCACTGGTGACACATGTGTATCCATAGCAACATACATGTTACATAATAAGTGACATACGTTCCGCTTCCGGTGTGACATGTGAGAGGAGAGTTGCGCGTCGTGCTCCGATTAAAGTGGCTAAAAGTAAGGTTCCATGAATGAAAAAGGACAGTAAAAGGACTGTGTTTCAAGCTTCACTCTTATGTTAACACGACAGAGAGAGAAAACTGGAAAAATGGTGAAGAATAACGGCGTAAAGGACAAAAAAGACTCGCAAACAGGCTCTGACCCGGCGGGCGCGTGCACGGCAGAGGCGCGTTCACGCGAGAATGAAATATTGGATGAAATAAGAGCCTTAAGACAAGAGCACACAAAGGCCGTTAATGATCACGGCAAAATGCTTAAACAGATGGAAACAGACATTAAAAGTGTGTCTGAGCAAATGACTAAGCTGGAGACGAGGACCACGGCTGCAGAGGTGAGGCTGGGGGAGACCGAGGACAGGACCTCGTGCCTGGAGAAGGCTGTGACCCTTCTGCTGGAGCAGGGAGCAACACTCGCTGCAAAGTGTGAGAGTTTGGAGGCGAGATCGAGGCGCAAGAATGTGAGGATACACGGGATCACGGAGGGAGCGGAGAAGAATGACGTGACTGCATTTGTGAAAGAGTTTATCTGCAACTCTCTGAAACTTCCCACGGACCTGGATCTACAGAGAGCGCGCGCATCGCATCCCCACGCACACACTGAAGGAGAGCGGGGCCCGTCCCCGAGCCATCATTGTTCGTTTCCTGCACTTTCAAGTCAAAGAACTGGTCATGACACACGCGTGGAGACTCAAGCCCGCGTACGAGGGACACCCGGTGTACTTCAATGAGGATTATACTGCAGAGACTATGAAGAAGCGGAGACAAGTACGTGATGTGATTAAGCAGCTGAAGGACAGGAACATACGAGCGCAGTCCCCGTACCCCGCCCGTCTGAAAATATTCATGGATGGGGGGGCGAAGTCTTTCCCAAGTCTGGCCGCTGCAGCCCCCGTGCTGCGTGACCTGGGGATACACGTGAAGGAGGAGGATATGGAGACACTGAAGGGTGAGCTGATGAAGGGGATGTGGAATGTAGTGACTGATAGAGGAGAGACTGCATAAAGACTGCAGAGGACAAATGAGCACTTCACACCTGAAGCCACAGGTACTAACATTTTGAACACGTTCTAGAACTTTCTCATTATAATACTCTGGACTGGAGCCTAATTTTTGTTGAATAATTAAGCCCAATTGAATAAATAAAGGACATATGTAATGGTTGGGGGGTTTTAATTGCAGAGGATGAAGTTTGTAGAAGTGAAAAGGGGACGAATTGTCTGATTATGGCAGATGAGAGCGATGGTGGTGTTTCCAAAGAGACAAAAACTCTTTACAAATACAGTATTTATTAAATAAAAAGACAAGGATAAAAGTTATAAAAGTCCTTCGTTAAAACCCAGAAACCTCGGATGTGGGGGCTCCGGGGGAATTGTGCCCCAATGGCTGAGGCTAACGTGGGCCAGAGGCAGGTAGACGGCGCTCGTCCCCAATGTGAATGGCGCACACCGCTTCTAGGGGGAGACAGCACACCGGCAGAGCACAGCACATATATGGGCCAAAGGCTGGAGTGTAAAACGTGTCTTGAACCGCTACTTACGGCGCAGGCGGGGTATGAGCCCCGCCGCTGCGTGTAGGTCGCTTCGCGGTACGTCCCAGTGACTCTGCGTCCTCGCTCTTTATCCGGATTGCAGCCCTCCAGCTGCCGCCGCGGATCCCAGGGCCGTAGACCTCTAGGGGAGAGAGCACACCGGAGCAGAACACAGCATACGAATATATGGCAAAGGCCACGGGGGGGTAAACGCGTCTTGAACCGCTACTTACTGCGTAGGCGGGGTATGAGCCCCGCCGCTGCGTGTAGATCGCTTCACGGTTCGCCTCCTTGGCACTCGACGGGTCCCGCTCGTGGTCTTCCTCCGTGGCCTGCTCTCGTCTCCGTGCTCGTCCCGTTCGTCCGTGCCCGTCTCTGCCCGTCTTTGTTAGTCTCCGTTAGTCTCCCGTTAGTCTCCGTTTGTTTTTTCTTGTTGCTGCTCTCTTGTCGTTTTAAGAGCCTGTCTGCCCATTTAGGCAGGTGTGGTGATTGTCAGGGGCGTCCAGTTGGCTGGTGACAGTAAGGTGGTAGGAGTGGCTACGGCATGCGGTTCATTAAAAGCACAACAAACACACAGCAATACAAAAGTAAAATAAAACCCGCACAATGCCGGCTTACACATATAAATAAATATTGGCAAGAGGGGTTTATTAATTGTCACTATAGAATTTAAAGAAGGAGCAAATAGCGCGTTTTTGGTATTAAGTTAGTTAATTCGTTATTTTTCTGAAGTTATTTTGTTGTGTTTTTCTGAAAAAGTTTGTGTATGAGTGAGAGTGACTGTGTGTATATGTGTGTGCTGGAGTGGGTGTGTGGTTTTGTGCTCTTGTGTCTGAATCTGTCCTGTGTGAGTGAATGTTTGTATGCTTGTCAGTGTGGTTCAGTGTCAGATCAGAGTGATGGATGTGTGAATATGTCCCATGTGAATGTGACTGTATGTGGTGTAAGAGTGGACCTGGTTACTGTGAATGCAAATACAGAGTTGACCTCCATGGCAGTTAAAATGGTTAATTTGTATCCTAACATCCAATATAATCCAGGATGATGGCTTCTTCTGCTAAACTCCCTAAAAAAGGTCTAAAATTAGGACATTTAAACATTTGCAGCCTAAGGAATAAAACTATTGAAATATCAAATATTATATTAGAATATAATTTACATATCCTGGCTGTAACAGAGACTCATTTAGATTCCACAATAGAAGATGCGGTTATTAATATACAAGGGTACAATGTATTTAGAAAAGATAGAAATTCTAATGGTGGTGGAGTCGCTGTCTACATTCAGGAGCACATACCTGCCAAGATAAGAATGGACTTGATGATGCCTAATATTGAAATACTGTGGCTTCAAGTGCACCTTCCATATTTAAAACCAGTACTAGTGGGGTGTTGTTACCGCCCTCCTAATGCTAATGCTGAGTATTTAGAGGACATGTGCACTATGATAGACAATGTGTGTGATAATCAAAACAATATTTTTCTCATGGGAGATTTTAATATTGAATGGAATAATGCACAGTGCCCATTGAGAAGTAAACTTTATTCAATTACTGAGACATGTGGCTTAACCCAACTTGTAACCACACCAACTCGAATATGCTGTCGGCGAGATGGCACAAAAACATCTACACTAATTGATTATATTCTTACAAATGTTGCCGATCGCTGTAGTAAAGCTGTATCAGTTCCTGTTGGCTGCAGTGACCACAACTTTGTAGCAGTGGTAAGAAAGACAAAAGTCCCTAAAGAGGGCCCCAAGGTAATATTAAAAAGGTCATGCAACAATTTTAATACTGAGCACTTTTATGAAGATGTCCGTAATATTTGCTGGGATGAGATTTTAAGGATTGATAATCCAAATTTTGCAGTAGAAAGATTTAATGAATTATTTTTGGAAGTGAGCAATAAACACGCTCCTATAAGAAAGCGAACAGTGAGGAAAACCAGAGTGGGTTGGATCAATGAGGAATTGAAGGACTTCATGAGACAAAGAGATGAGGCAAAAAATATGGCAAACAATACTAATCTAGAATCTGATTGGCAAGTGTACCGCAAATTGAGAAATTATGTGACAAAGTTAAACAAAAAGAAAAAGAAGTTGCACTATGAAAATATGATAAAAAATGATAAACATGATAGTAAGAAATTATGGAGCGTTCTAAATAATATGCTTGGAAGAAATGCCAAATCCACACCATCGTTTCTGGAATCAGACGGGCAGTTTATGACAAAGCCCTTGGATATAGCAAATCATCTAAGTGATTATTTTTATACAAAAATTAACAAGCTCCGGGATGAAATGGATCAAACCAGCACTATAGACATTGAATCATTAATTAATAAAATTATGTTAGGGAAGACATGTAAATTTGAATTTAAAGAAGTGACTGTGCGTCAGGTTGAGAAACTGCTTGTAGAATGTAAAGAAAAACCATCTGGTGTAGACAATATTGACTCAAAGTTATTGAAACAAGTGGCTGACATTATTTCTGTTCCAATCACACATATTTTGAATTTGAGTTTGCAAACTAGTATTTATCCACTAGAATGGAAAACTGCTAAAATTGTACCACTGCCAAAAAGTGCAACAGTACCCTTCAGTGGGTCTAATAGTAGACCAATCAGCCTTTTGCCAATATTGAGTAAAATTATGGAAAAGATAGCTTTTGAACAAATTAATACATATTTCTTAGAGAATAATTTAAGCTCTGACTTTCAGCATGCATATAGAGTTGGGCACTCAACCACTACGGCTATGGCTCAAATGACAAATGATTGGCTTACAGCCTTAGACAATAAACAGTTAGCAGGAGCTGTGCTGTTAGATTTCAGTTCAGCTTTTGACCTAATAGATCATAGTCTTTTGGTGAGGAAAATGCAGTGTTATGGTTTCAGTAGATCAGCGTCACTATGGATTCAAAGTTATTTAGATAACAGAAAGCAAACTGTCCTTTTTAATGGCAGTTTTTCTAATGAAAAGGATGTCAGCTGTGGTGTCCCGCAGGGCAGTTGTTTAGGCCCACTCCTCTTTTCCATATATACAAACGACCTTCCTTTAGTTTTACAGAAAGCCAAAATAGCCATGTATGCTGATGACTCAACTATTTATTCATCACAAACTACAGTTGGAGAGCTGCAGACCGTCCTAACTGAAGAATTAAAATCTGTATATGACTGGGTCAGAAACAATAAATTACTCTTAAACGTTGGTAAAACAAAAAGTATTGTGTTTGGAACCAGACATATGTTGTCACATGATCCTAAGTTAAAAATCACTGTGAAAGACTTAAATGTTGAGCAGGTGCATGAGACCAAGCTTCTCGGAGTACAGCTCGATAACAGACTGTCCTGGTCCAACCACATCAGTGCTGTAGTTAAGAGAATGGGCAGGAGTTTAGCCATGGTCAGACGATGTTCTAGTTTGTTAATTCCAAATATGACTGTAGATGTAATAAAAACACTCGTACTCTCACAGTTAGATTACTGTTCAGAGATCTGGTCGTGTGCTGCAGAGTCACATATAAAGGCTTTACAGGTCGTTCAAAATAAAGCTGCGCGATGTGCTCTTCGATGTAGATATCGAACCAACACCAACTGGATGCACTCTGTGTTATCCTGGTTAAAAGTCAAAGAAAGACTGAAAGTCACATTAATTAATTTAACAAGAAATATAATTTTAACCAAAATGCCCAATGTTCTCCATAAAGAGTTGAGTTTCAGTGCAGAAGGCCATCATTATCAAACCAGACATGCAAGTGAGGGTAAGTTCAATCTGCCCAAAGTAAAAACAAATTATGGACAGAATACCATCACGTACAGATCCATGTGTGTTTGGAACAGTCTGCCCTCCGATATCATGAACGAAAATAATAAATATCAATTCAAATTGAAATTGAAAAGACTTTTCCTAAACATTGGCGCAGTAGATGCTTAAATGTTGTAATACCTAAGTGTGTATTTCATGTTTTCCTTGTCATGGAAATATTCCATTTTAAATCTTGCTGTCCACTGTTACTGAGATTGCATTCATACTAACCAGGTCCTCCGTGTGTGCATGTGTGTGTGCATGTGTGTGTGCGTGTGTGTGAAAGTGAGTGGATGTTTATGTAAGTTAAATTTTTGTTAGTATTATTTGTTTTGTTGTATTCTGTGTTCTGTTTTTGTGTTTTTAATGTAATAATTTCTGTTTTTCACATGTGACGCCAAGGAGCGAAATGTTTTTTTTCAAAATGTATGTGAGACAACGACTCCAGGAAGAATAGCTGTTTTTATACAGCTAATGGAGATCGTAATAAATACAAAATACAAAAATACATCATTTTACAGTAATTAACCTGAAATTAACACAATATCTGCAGCGAACAATAAAATACTGAGATTAAAACCATCAATAGTTAAACGCAGGTTTGCATTCTTCATTTCTGGAGCTAAATCATTCACATAAATTGCAGATAAAGTTGGAGAGAAGATAAACAGCCTCAGATCATTCACTGCTCACAGGCGAACAGAGCCTTGTGAAGGGATTTTATACATTTATACAAATATCCAGTAATGCTACATTTAATTCACTTCTATTCAGAAACTGTTTATCCAATCAAAGGCTTCAATTATCAAAACAAAGTAGTTTAGTTTTGCTGCAGTCTGGCTCGCACCACAGAGGACAGAACATAGATGTGCTCAATGCTCTGTTCTTCCTAAATCCATTCTGCTCATCGACCAATATCTGATGTTGTTGAATGTTTAGATCCAGAAAACAATGATTCTACTGCACTTATCAGGCTGCTTCCTCTGCTTCAGTGGATTCTCTGCTGGAGAAGATTTGGGGATAGGCTTCATGCTCACCCTCGCTGCCCTTCTTCCCTGAACGTGTTTTATCACAAACACAGAAGGAAAATCCAGCCACAGACGACAAAAGGACTAAGACAAGCTGCAAGAAGAAAACACACTTTATCCAGCGTTCAAAAAGAAAAGAAGAAGTGAGGAATCTGAAACAGCAAACACAAATATAAACATACATGAACAACATGATTAGGACGTGTCATAAACAATACGACTGTTGGCTCTTGGAGGAAACAAGGAAGTAGAGGAAAGGCCTGTGGAAGGAAGTGAACACTGTCCTCAATAAAGCATCAGAAGACAGACTCTGCCTCAATACTGTGGAAGTCATGGAGCAGAAATAACACACATGAAAGAACTAAACTACTGCTTTATCCATGTGGGGCCAGAGCTGCATCAACCATTCAAAACAACAACAACTCTCACAGGTTCTGAGTCCAACACTGAAAAAGAAGTCCTAGACATTGTTCAAAGCATGAAAACAAAAAGGTCACAAGATCGAGACGATGAGTTTGACGTCTGCACGACCAAAGAAGTCATCAGTGACATTTCCCGGCCCTTAACTCATATATTTAAGCTAACGTTCTCTACTGGATCATTCCCATGTCTAATGACAACTGCAGAAGTCAGACTCATTCACAAACCAGGAGACAAACTGCTTTAACTAGAGCCCAACTCTATCTTATCTCTATGTTCCAAAATACTGGAAACGCTCTTTGTAAATAGAATGGAGTCATTTATTGAAAAACACAACATCCTAACAATCAATATGGATTTAGAAAGGACAAATCAACTGAACTTGCATTATTGTCTGGACTAGTTTTCCTCCTTTGATCTTCCTTCATGGTCCCAAACAGACGACATATTTGTATTCATCAGTTCATTTCTTTGAATGAGGGCAGTACATATGAATGTGTCAGAAACAGCTTCAACATCAAGATGCTGGAATTAGCACAAAAGCTAAAATGCATCCTTTGTCCTAAAGCGGCAGAAGAAACACATGTTTAATATATATGCTCTGTATGTTCATGGGGAGGCTGCACCTTTTTACTTCTTTCTCCATTTAGAGCCCACCACTTGGAAACACAAATACATTTGTACAAACACATTGAAATTGTAAATATGCTTCAATAGTTTTTATCTGCAGTTTAGTTCAGAATAATAATGTCCCACTCTGTCTCCTTCTTCATCACATGTCAGTTTGAAGCTTAGACTTGATGCAGCTTTAAAGGAACCATAAGATTTTCCTTTCAGACAAAAACATGATGTATCCGAGTCTCCAGACACAAAGTAAAGAGGTTCAAATCCACAATAAGTGTTTGGTCTGTAAAGCTCAGCAGCTGCAGCACAGGGTTAAGACTGAAGTGTGATCCTGTAGAGTCTGACTCTGGGTTCACATGATGCAGCCTCAGCTCTGTCTCCTTCACTTTGTTCCAGATGCTGCGTCTTCACACCTGCTTCTCTGCAGGTTTTATTGTGTTCATGAAGAGATGACCCACGAGTAAAAGACTTTCCACACTTTTTACAGACAAATGGTTTCTCTCCAGTGTGGATCCTCTTATGTTTTTTGAGATTACCACTTTGAGAAAAACTCTGATCACAAACTTCACAGACAAATGGTTTCTCTCCAGTGTGGATCCTCTGATGATTTTTGAGATTACCACTTTGAGAAAAACTCTGATCACAAACTTCACAGCTGAAGGGTTTTTCTCCAGTGTGGATTCTGCTGTGGCTCTTGAGACCTCCGCTTCCGGAAAAACATGTTCCACACAGATCACACTTGTACGGCTTCTCTCCAGTGTGGCTCCTATGGTGACGTGTGCGGTTTGATGCACTTCTAAAAGTTTTACTGCAGAGGTCACATGCAAATGGTTTTTCTCCAGTGTGAATTCTCTCATGTATTTTGTAGTGAGTAAACCGAGTAAACTCCTTCCCACAGTCTCCACAGATGAATGGTTTTTCTCCAGTGTGAATTCTGTAGTGCACAGTGAGGTGAGATAATTGTGTAAAAGTCTTTCCACACTGGTCACATTGGTGAGGTCCCTCTCCTGTGTGGACATGCTGATGTTGTGAGAGCTGGTCTTTACTCTTGAATGTTTTTCCACACTCGTCACACTCAAATGGTTTCTCTCCTGTGTGGATCCTCTGATGAATTTTGAGAGTATCCTCTCGTCTAAAACTCTGATCACAAACGTCACAGCTGAAGGGCTTTTCTCCAGTGTGGATTCTGCTGTGGACCTTGAGACGTTCTTTTATAGTAAAACCTGTTCCACACTGATCACACACGTATGGTTTTTCTCCAGAGTGAGTTCTGTAGTGTCTCTTTAGTGCAGAAGCAGAGCTGCAGGTCTTTCCACACTGATCACAGGTGAACCCCATTCTGTAGATGGACTTTGTAGATCTGCAACAAACACAGAAAAAAGCAGACAGATATTATATTATTAGTCACCAGGACGAAACACAACCAGACAAGTTTTCAACCCAAACTTGAACTGAAGTAAACCTACATCATTAAAGTAGATCAGGAGAGTCAAACTCATTTAGCAAATACAAAGTCCTGCAGTCAGTTGCCTCAATGTCCTGAACCTGTTGATGGAGGACTATTGTCTCTTTGTTAGGTCGGTGCCAGGGACCTGTTGGGAAGGGTCTGGCACCAGGTGTTTGTTGGGGACCTCCTTGGACGCCCACACCCTTTTCCACTCTGATTGGACGGTGAAGTCAGCTGATGGGGAGGTTCTTCCAGATGGGGCGTCTGGATGGGAGCCGAGCAGGGTTGGAGATTTCTTTGTGGATTGGTCGTGGGGGGAGTCTACAACCTTTTGGAGCATCCTTTGAGTCGCTGCTGTTTGCCGGATGTGTGGAGGTGCAGTGTTTGATAGAACAGGGAGCCAGGGGAGAGGTGATGAGTGAATTGTACCAGTTTTAATTCTCATGGTTGTGTTGAGCTGGGAGTCCATGAAAATAATTTCAGATTGTCTTCATTAAGTTGTGTGTAGTTAAACAATAACACTACAAGCACATTTAGACTGCATCTACAGAGCCATACAACAAATTTAAGTCACAACCATATTGGGATTGAACAAAATACAGAAACTCTCAAATACCTTATTTCTCATTTTATATAAAGGTTATACAGTATATGGCAGATTTGATTGTCTTTTTTGTCTTTGAAATTCAGTCGCAAAAAAAAAAAAAAAGACAATCAGTTTGCAGATTTTGAATTTTAAAATGACATTTGCCTTAACAATATGTTTATTTTCAACACTAAAATTCAAGACATTGTGAAATTCAATTTTAAAAAAAAGATTGACAATTACTTCTATCAGATTTAGAATTTGAAATGAACTCCAGTCAGAGGTGAGATGGCCGAATTGTGGAAAAGTTCTGGCGCGATTTGTCAGCTGCTTTGATGCTATCAAGGCCTTTCTGAATGAAAAGGGCAAAAACAATATCCATACTTTGAGGACGAGAAGCCCCACCCGCAGTTCACAACGGAGCACTCTGAGGCATGTTTGCAACTCAAAGTAACTAACTACAAGCCCCAGATCACAGAGCTCAAGCTAAGCAGCGCCAGGGATCACACTGACTCTCTGCTATAGGCATCTGATCATTTGATGTTGCCTCAGCCTAGAATAAGATAAGATATACTTTATTGATCTCACAAAGGAGAAATGTACATGTCACATCTGGCATGGATAGAAACACTCAAGATTTGTGCAAAAAGAAAGAAATATGCAAACATGTTAAATGCAGAATATATTATGTACAATTAAAAAGTGGGAATCATGAAACAGTGTCAATAGTAGTGCAGGTTTTTTCAGTCCTAGTGCAAGTGACTTGTTGTACAGTCTGACAGCAGTGGGGATAAAGGCCCTGCGGTAGAGCTCCTTCTTACACTGAGGGTGCCTCAGTCTTCCACTGAAGGAGCTCCTCAGCTCCTCTACAGTTCTGTGCAGTGGGCGGGAGGTGTTGTTCATGATGGAGGTGGCTTTGACGAGCACCTCCTGTCCCTCACCTCCTCCACAGAGTCCAGGGAGCAGCCCAGAGTGGAGCTGGCCCTCCTGACCCACTTGTTCAGTCTGCTCCTGTCCTGCTCTGTGCTGCCCAGGGCACAGCACACAGCAGCGTAGTATATGGCAGAGGCTACCACAGAG